GCCTCCCAAAGTGCTGTGATTACAGGCGTGAGCCACTGTGCCTGGCCAGAAAGTGAAATATTTCTTGACCCTGTGTCTCAAACTAAAGAGAAAAATGAGAGTGAGATCCAGGAGGTCACGTTTTGAGAAAAATAAAGTGAATGTACTCTTTACATAAGTGAAGAATTTGATACAAAGTTAATATGTAAGCCCAAGGGTGTCTGGTTCAGAAGAGTACAATTCAAGAGGCTATTCTGGAAACAATTGAGACAAATTCACTTATTTTCTTACTTTATATGCCTAAGCCTGTGGTCATTTGGGCCTATAACCTCTGGTCAAATGGATAATGGCCTCTTGGAACTGAAACCCACCCCAGATTCAGAAGTTTATTAGTGAATGGATTTCCGTTCCCTCTCTGCCTATTTCCAAATGGAAGATGGAAAACTGGTGGCTTTGGGGGCTGGAGTGGGAAGAACACTCACTTCTCAGCCAAGCATCTGATTTCTTTTCCAAGACAAGTATTAATAGCAAGATGAAGGGAGGCAGGAAGTTCTAAGATGGATAAACCACAGAATCCAATGTGCCTGGAGAGTGTGAACAAGTGTTTGGATTAGAGGGCTCTATTTTTAATCAACCATAAGGAATTATTTTTATTTTTTTTAACTTTTTGAAATAATTTCAATCTTTAAAAAGTTGCAAAAATAGTAAAAAAAATTTTATATAAACTTTTACCCAGATACCAGAAATGTTAACACTTTCTTAACTAGAGTATAAGCATCAAAATCCCAAAATTAACACTAATACAATGTTATCATTGTATACAATGTATATAACAGATACAATGTGATTATTGTTTCAATGTAACACTGATACAATGTTTATCTGATCTACACAATTTATTCTGATTTCACCAGTTGTCCCACCCTTGTTCTTCTTCCAGCCGAGGCTCTAATCCAGGATTTCACATTGCGTTTTACTGTCAGGTCTCCTTAGTCTCTTTCAGTATAGAACAGTTCCTCAGTGTTTGTCTTTCGTGAACTTGACATTTAATAAACTGTCCCTTAATTTCAGTCTGTCCACCCCCCTTCATGATTAAATTCAGGTTATGTATTTGGAAAGCAAATCACAGAAGTGATGTATCCTTCTCACTGCATCATATTAGGAGATAATGTCTAGTGATATCCAAAGGTTTCTCCACTGTACAGCTATGAATTTCAAAGACAGAAGATTATCTTTTTAAGACAGACTTTGAGACGATGTAAATATCTTTGTTATTTTGTTACTTCTATTTTTTAAGAGATATAGTAAATGTTCTTTTTCTCATCACACTTTCACCCACTAATTTTAACATCCATTGATGATTCTTGCATGAACCAACCATAATTTCTTTTTTTTTTTTTTGAGATGGAGTTTCACTCTTGTTACCCAGGCTGGAGTGCAATGGCGTGATCTCGGCTCACCACAACCTCTGCCTCCTGGGTTCAGGCAATTCTCCTGCCTC